AGGGACCTCGCCATGATCCACATAACAACTCATCAACAAAGGATCGCTAAAGCCAACATTAAAAATATCAAGATCAGAAGATTCCAAGTATGTAACTTGGTCCTCGGAAAGGTGTTTCAAAATACCAAGGATCCTAAGGCAGGTAACCGAAACCCAAGTGGGAAGGACCCTGTCTCATTCATTCAGAATCAAGAAATGGGGCATATTGGTTGGCTACTCTAGAAAAAAGTATCTTGTCAAGATCATGGAATGCTATACATCTCAAAGCATACTTCATGTAAGTTGAATTCAACCCACTTCAATACGAACAATCAAGGTACACTCCTACTCATTACCCTCACTTTTTCCTTAAATTCTTTTTTTTCTCAAAGACCATTACTGACTTAAGCATCAGATGTACGTTAGCCAAGATGACGCCCACCCCAGGCTAACGTTTTCAACATATAGAAGCTTGAAGATCCTAGAAACCACGAATATAGATTGATCATCTCTCCTTTGATCAAGGGTACATAATCCCCTCTAAGGTTTAAAGAGTTAATAACCTCTTTCATCTGTGTATGGGTTTCCACACCCCGCTTGGACGTACGATATCTAACTATGAAATGTGAATAAGGGGATCATTTCACGCTTTAGTGACTTGAAAACACTCTTATTTATGAACATATGTTAAGATCCTAAAGATTAATCTATGGTTTATAACATTATCATGTTATCTTACGATTTGGGATCTTCCCCAGTATAATCTACACTTTATAACATTATCATATTATCTTACAATTTGAGATCTTCCTGGGATCTTCCCCAGTATAATCTAAGTTGGGATCTTCCCCAATGTATTCTAATTTGGGATTTTCCCCAGAAAAACCTAAGTTGGGATCTTCCCTAGCATAAGTTGGGATTTTACCATGTATATCCTAAGGTTAGGGTCCACCCTAATGGACTTTTAAGATAAAGTTTTTCTCAATAGTTAGAAGGATTGTACCCAGTTCAAACCTCACGATTACAAAACAATTCCTGAGTTCGGAGTCCTAAAGAAAAGTTCATAGAGACGACTAAAATTCTAATTGAAATATAAGGAAAAGAATAAGAAAGCTCTCACCAGGTTTTATCTATCATTGTCTTCTATGTTTGCTACGCCCAAAGTTGTCCCTAAAATAAGAAAAATATATCCTTTTCTTATAAAGGTTTTCATACCTTTTAAACCAAAATTTATCTCTTTCAAACATTAGGGTTCTGACTACTTACAAATCCCAATCAAATAACTATTTATCTTATATCTTTAAGATCCTAAAAAGTATTTGTAAACTCTAAACTCCTTAGGATCCTAATCATCTAAAAACATTTAGAAAAACTTACTTTGAGCCTCTTTCTACAACCAAATCAACCACACAAAGAGATAGTAAAAGCAAGACATGAAAATAAAAAAGGGTTTCCCGCTAACCCAACAAAAAGAAAAACATAATTGTTTATAGATCAAAAATAAAAATTGTTTTAATTAATCAAACCTAAGCATCTAAGGTTTGATCACCATCACCCTCTTTTTTCTCTCCTTCTCCTCCCTCCTTCTCTTTCTTCTTCTCCGCAGGATCCTGACTGACATTAACGTGCTTACCAGTAGACATCGGGAAAGTGGTGGATGAACTCTTTTGGTAGCTAGGCTGCTCAGACTTGAAAGTTCTTTCAATTTCAGGAAAAGAAAGGGAATTCTCAATCTTCTCCTTAGTATCTTCACTAGCATGGACGAGTTCCTCGAACTTGAAAGCTGCATCAAATCAAAACTAAATAAGAAAAGAGATCACCGTCGGGAATGGATTCACGTTTCACAAAGAAATATTTTTCTTTCCATGCACCATCATATGTTTCGATTTCAAAATAAGACGTGATTTATTGGTTTTGACTTTGAGTAGGAAATGAGAATTCCTAAAAGTTTGAAGGTCGTAAACATAGGCCAATTCAAATAAACTCATGTCTAGATCCTAGATCTGTTCAGTCGATCAATCCAAGACAAGATCCTCTATACCACATGCATAGTCTTGATATAAGAAAATTTTCTAACTTCGAAGAACTCAAAGATGATGCCAGAAAAAAGGGTATGTCAAGTGCAAGGAGAAAGAATATTCATGAAAACAAACCAAAGCAAGAGAGACGAAGTCAAGTTGGCCTTAACATAAAAAGGCTTGAAAATGACGTCGACAAGAAAAGCTCCGATCGATTTCAAGGGCTTGGTGTCATTATCATAAAAAGATATAGTATCTTCATAAGACAAGATCTTTTGATCGACTAAGTCCTCGTCGGGAAGAGCAAGGATGCTCAAGCGATAACGGAGTGGCTTTTTGCCCATGATCAACAAACAAGAAAAATGAAAAGAAAGTAACAAGAAATTTACCTTCAAAATAACCGATAACACATATAAGAGAGCTAGAAGAAATAAAAGAGGATCGATAACCATTAACCCTTATTTATGCAGATCATAGAAGAGAGAGAAGTGATTTGACAACATAATCATATCTTTTGAACGAATACAATTCTATCCGTTAGAGTTTGAATTTTAAACCCTTTATTTCAATTAAATTATACACTTAAAATACTTGAAATTAATTCAAGTATTTTGCAGGTATAATTTGGGGTAATTGTTAGGGGTCAAGATCCTTAAACCTATCCAAGATCCCGGATCCTAAAGGAGTCCCAAGATCCCGAAACATACATAAGGATCCTGACCATCTCCATTATTATTTCCTAACGAAATTAACGAATATATTTCTTGTTTATTATCCATATGTGTAGAAATAGTCAAAAAAAGACTCATCAACTCCAAAGAATCGCATTAATCAAGCTTCAGACCTGGAAATACCAAGTCAAAGCACGTGCAAATACTAGCTCAACAGGATCGCAGAAATATCAGACTTTTAGTTATATGACCTAGACTATATATACACACTTGTAACATGCATACAACGAACACATTTTTTTGACACCTTACACACCTAGAGCTACTCAAACACTTGTACTCGTATTCATACTTTCATTTTTGTAATTTTTGTTGAAATCAATAAAATCAAACAAGGTAGGTGATCATTATCATCTCTCAATGTTTTATGTCAGAGATATTGTCAAAGATCAAGGGCTTTCCTTGTAAACCAGTTGTGTCATTTTGATCTCAATGATACTTATAATAGTCACAACACCACATTCTCTCATACAATTTGGTTGATATCCATTTAGTTGTTTTTTTTACCAAAACACGCACACACACACACACACACACACACACACACACACACACATATATATATATATATATATATATATATATATATAATTTTTTTTAATCATTATAGCATTATTAAATATAAAAAGGACATACATACCCATCCCCACCACCCTCTTTCTTTCTTACACACACTCACATCATACCAATGCACTCTCACACATACACACATGCCATTTCTTTTCCACATGCCATTTTATGGGTTTTCCTATTTTAATAAATTACACATAATACTTTAATGTAATAATTACAATAAATGTAGTAATAAATGAATATCAATTTCATTAATGGACTTATATTCTTATTTAAAATTATCAAATTAAAGCCCATTAGTTTATTTTGTTTATTTATTTAAATTTAAAAGATAAAAAAATCAATTTTAATAATTCATTATTTTTCTTATTTTCTTATAAATCCAAAGTTCTTAAATATTTAGACATTCTTATTTTAATTTTTTTAATTAACCCATTTAATACATGAGTCTTACACCTAGTAAACACAACATATCATAATATTTGATTTAATAAGGATTGCAAGCATTAATGATCATTTAATCATTTGACTCGAATTCATACATGATTAAATTGATAATAAAATGATAAATGAGTTATGAAAATTCGATTAAAGCAACGATGACTAAAATGATGAATCAACAAGAGGAAAAGTTCATAAATGTGATGGTGCAACAAGAAGAAAAAACTCACAAAGATTTGAAAATAACCTGAGGATCAACATAAGCAAAAAGTAAGAAGGGTGCTGCAAGACAACTCAAATTCTATTCTAAATGAGCTCAGTGGAAGGAATCCAAGTGTTTCTCTTCCTAGTGTAGAAGACGACACACTCTAAAAAATTTATCCTGATGAAGATGAAGAAGAAATTAAAAATAAAGATTGTTGTTATAAAGATTTGAAGACGACGCACCCTAAAAAAACTTATCGTGATGAAGATGAAAAAGAAATTAAGAATACAGATTCTTGTTATAAAGATTTGAATGAGTGCCAACCTCTTAGTTACGAAGGAACTTGATTGTTGTATGTAACTAGATTATAGAAATGGAAATGGATTTTTTAGTACATGCTAATGAAAGGGCGATCAAATAGTTCAATTTTATTGTGACCAAGTTTAAGAAGCAAAACTAATCTGCTGCTGAAAGTTAACTGATAGTTGAAAAAGTAGCTGAGAGCCGAAAAAATAGTTAGTAGCTAATGAAATATAATGTTTGATAAAAACTACCTGATAAGCTACTTGAAAAATATAAAATAACATTCATGTAAAAAAATAATTGTTATAATTAATTAATAAATGATATATTCTTTTTAATGATTAAACTCTATAAATTAGTTGAAAAGTTATTTTGAATAGATTTAAAAAAAACCAACTTATTAATTAGTAATCTAAAAAAGTTAAAAAAATAAGTTACATATGACATCAAATATAACCTAAACGGTGGAGTTAAATGAAAAAAAGCTTCTGCAAATTTTAATTGGAGTCATTTGTCAAGTAATTTTGTAAATTTTGAGATTAAAAAAGTTAAAAAAATAAGTTACATATTACATCAAATATAACCTAAACGGTGGAGTTAAATGAAAAAAAGCTTCTGCAAATTTTAATTGGAGTCATTTGTCAAGTAATTTTGTAAATTTTGAGATATTTGTTAATAAAAATCATATTATTTTTAATGATATTTATAGAAAGAGCATTATCCGTATTTTAATTATTTTAGTGAATATACCAAAGATAAAAGGGCAACTCGAATACCGAAGGAGTTTCATTTCTTCACAGGTCATAACAAAGACCCTCCATTCTCCTCCACTTCCTTTTTGTACCTTCAGTCACTTTCCACCCATTTCCACAATTTCAAACTTTCTTCAATTGATCCTCTCATTTTACAAGATTTTAGTCAACAGTCATGTCTGTGCCACTCGAACATGATTACATAGGGTTATCAGAACCTTCTTCAATGGAAAAAGCATCCGAATCTTCCAATCATTCATCCGAAAGTGACAAGAACAATGCTCTTAACCTCAAAGCCACTGAATTGCGACTAGGGTTACCTGGTTTAGGTCAAGATTTGGAGGAAAACGCCTGCAAAAATAGCCCTGTGAAGAACTTCGTGTCAGGAGCTAAAAGAGGGTTTTCTGATGTTAATTTTGATGGTTCTTGCAAATGGGGTTTCAACGGCGGATATGAAGGTGATTCTGTTAAGGGTTCTTGTTCTACTACTTCTGTTCTTTTTGGGATTAATTCCGGTAAAGAGAGTAAACAAACACAGCAACCAATTCCTCTTCCTCTTGAAGAAAAGAAGAAAGCTTCTGTTACTACTGAAAATGGCAGAACTCCCCCTTCTTCCAAGTAACTTTTAATCCAACCCCTTTTACCATTTACAACTAAAATGCTGAAAATTAATTAGTTTCTGATTTGTTTTTTTTACTGTATGTTCTTATGCTTTTTTCTTGGTTCATAGAAAGCGACATGTGGTTTTTTAGGGTAACTATTCAAATCAAACCATTTTAGGGTTGTTTTGTATCCTCTTTTTATCAAGTGGGGTTGTTCATCTCGACATTTTTACAGGGTGTTTGGGCATGTGGAATGTTTTGTGGTTTGGATTTATTTGTTGATGTTATGTTCTTATAAATGTGTATGAAATGAATTGGTCTTAAAAACAGTTAGTTTGGATTATATAACAGGGCTCAGGTGGTAGGATGGCCACCAATTCGATCTTTTAGGAAGAACACCATGACAGCTAACCTCTCCAAGAATGACGATGCTAATGCTGCAGAAGAGAATTTGGGATGCCTTTATGTGAAGGTTAGCATGGATGGTGCTCCATATTTAAGGAAGGTCGACCTCAAGACTTGCAAAAATTACTCCCAACTTTCAAAGGCTCTTGAGAAAATGTTTGACCGATTTACCCTTGGTATACTTTCCCTCTCAAGTGTCTCGTACCTTTTGTCCTTTTGTGAAGATCCAATTTCTTTTTCATAATGGTAATTCTATGTTGATGTTTAGCTTGTGTTGTGAATTAGGTCAATGTACTTCTAACGGACTACGAGGGCAAGAAGGTCTTTGTGAAAGTAACCTCAAGGATCTTTTACATCAAAATGAAAGTGTATTGACTTATGAAGACAAAGATGGTGATTGGATGCTTGTTGGTGATGTCCCTTGGGAGTAAGTTCTTGTTCTTCCATTAGTTGTCAATTAGTAAAGTTTTATAATAAGGCACATAGGCCCAAAGTAGTAAAATGACTCATTAGTAGCCCATTTTTAAAGACTTTAAAGGGCTCATAGTTGTTGTTTGTTTGTTTTACAGGATGTTTATAGACTCATGCAAGCGATTAAGGATCATGAAAGGGTCAGAAGCAATTGGGCTAGGTATGTAATATGTTAACAATTAAAGATTCATTCATTCATATGTGATTTAGAGTATTATTGACCAATTGAATTGGTTGTTGATAATTGCAGCTCCAAGGTCAATGGAGAAGAGCAAGAACCAAATAAGGGGGGTATGAGGGACACATGAAGATGAAAAGGGTCTTTTTTTATTTTTTTATTTTTTTTTTGTGTTTTGGGTTTTCAACTTTTCATGGATATGCTTTAATCTTTGTTGTGGGTACAAGTAGTAAGTGGAAAGGAAACATCTTTAGATGTTTGATTTTCCATGCCTACATTTCGAATGTAAATGCTCTGTTTCCCCCTTCTTCTTTTTGCTTAATTTGAATGTAAATATACTCCTTCCTGCTAGTTGTTTATCCTTATCTATGTTTTTAATGTTTTGACCGAAAATTTGAAACCATAGTAGTTGGTAGGATATTTTTGCAGGTAACAATATATTTTGACATGATTTTGTTTAGTGTTGTATGAAACATTACTCTTTTGGCATGTAAACATACAATGTGTTTGTATGCTTGTTTAGAAAAGTAATGATATTAGGAAACAAATTTGGCTTTTAAATTTACTATTACAATATAAAGCATATATCTTGCCATAATATTGAAAAGACGAAAACAACATAAACATAACATTAAGAATCTTAACCAACTAATAAAACTAGCAATATACTTAAAAAACACAATCGATGCTACTAACGGTCACAACTTGCAAACAATTATGGCCAAGAACAGAATTCAACCTAAGCATGTCTTCAACTCCTGATTTTGCATTTCAGGATGTCTTACCAACCTAACCAACCCATAATTTATCAACAAATTGTTATATGACCATTTTCATCATCAACACAAAAATAAACCCACAATGTGGTCCTTAAGAAATTAAGAAATAGATTAAGGTTAACGATTGACAAATCCGTATCGTTAACAATAGAAATAGAGGGGATTGTGAAAGAAGGCTACCATTTTTGGACAAACATAAAATTGTCTTTGAGGGTAAGTTCTGGTCCTTGAACTCCTTATAATCGCTTCACTTCCACAATCACAATATGTCATTTGGTAGATTTAATCCAAGGACTTTCATAATAACAATCAACCATTCGTTTGGTTTTATGTAGTATATATAAATGGTTCATCATAATGGTTGTTGGAGTAACATGACAATTCTATAGTGAAATGACAATTCACTGGTTGTATGAAGAGAGTTGTCATGTCACTTTGAAATGACAATTCCTTGGTGAGAATTGTCATGGTCGAGTGGACATGACAATTCTATGGTGAAATGACAATTCGTTGGCTGTATGAAAAAAATTGTATATTTTTGTAGTCAAAGTGACATGATAATTCCCTGGTCTAGGTTTATTTGTTAGGTTGATGATGAAAACGGTCATAAAAATTTGTTGATAAATTACCGGTTGGTTAGGTCGGTAAGACATCTTGAAACACAAAATAGAAAGTTGGAGATATACTTAGGTTGTACTTGGGTTTTGTTCTTGGTCGTAGTTTTTTATAAGTTGTAATCTTTAGTAGTATCGGTTGTGTTTTAAGGGTATTTCTAATGTTATTAGTTGGTTATGACTGTTAATGTTAAGGATTATAATTACTAGTATCGCATGTGTATATTGTTTTAGATATTATGGTGAGTTAATTGCTTTATATTATAATAGTAATTTTAAAAGCCAAATTTGTTTTCTAATATCATATTTTCTTAAACAAGCATACAAACACATTGTATGTTTACATGCCAAAAGAGTGATGTTTCGTACGACACTAAACAAAATCATTAGTCAAAATGAACTGTACCTTCAAAATATCATACCAACTGCTACAAGTTTAAAGTTTCGGTCAATATATATATATATATATATATATATATATATATATATATATATATATATATATATATATATATATATATATATATATATATACATATTTGGTCAAAGGCTGAAAATTAAGAGGTACAAACCGTATTGGGCTATTTACAATCATTTTATGTATTATCAAATCATAAATCTTATTTTGGTCGAACATCTTAAAGATAAGAATGACTGTGGTTTATTAGCTTATATCTATCTTCCGGTTAGTCAAGATTTGAAAAAGTCAAACAAAGTTATACGCATATTCAAATTCAAGTCCTTAATTATAGCTTTTTTATCTCTTTTATCTTCTTCTACTGTTGTTGAATGAGCTCAAAGTTGAACGATTATTTCTCATGCCAACAGAATCAGTCAACATATCCACTTTATATAGCATCTTTCATCCAATTCAACCTGTTACCAGTTACCACCTACAGGCAATTCCGACGTCATGATCGAGACCACCATCATCGGTTACCACCTACGGCCACCTGCATCCTCGCTGACCCCTCCTTAAATGATGAACACACTCTCTCCTGCCATCCCTACATCTCCATCGTCAGTTAAATCAACCATCATCTCCACCACACTCATTCTTCTCTTTTCCCTAACAAGTGAACTCCATCACTACAAACAGTCGTCTCCCCCACCACCATCGATTTGATCGATTCAATATCTTTCTAATATATGTTTAAACTATGTTTTTATGACCTAGATGAAGTCGGCACCGCCATTACCACCGTCTGTTACAGTCGTCACCTTCTCTCACCGTTAAACCCTAATCCCCATTTTCAAGAGACCCTTTTGCTTTTTGTAAATCTAGAGACACAAGGTTGAGGGAGAAGAAAGCAGGTCTGTCATCATCACTAACTATATGAGTGAGATCGATATCTTATTCTTTTTAAATATTTTCTCCTATATGATTAGGATTTGATATTGTTCTAATTAATCAACTTCTATTTTGGCTGAATTGATGAAGTCTGAACAAGAAACGCACATCTTGGATGTTTAATCTTTAATATTTTTATGTTTTCTTACATAAGTATCTAATTTTATTGGTTTTATGGCTGATTTCGTATATTTATGCCTGGATTAAAGAAACTTGAACAAGAAACTCCTAGAGCTCCTTTGTTCCCTGACCATGACCACCAAACGCCCCTATTCTGGTAAGATATTTCATATCTTTGTATGTATATTCTAGATATGTGTTATTAAACTCTTAAATGTGTTTGTTATCATCTTCTCTTTGTGTATTTTTTTTGCATCTTATATTATTTCTTTGACAAAACTCAGAGTTAGAGCAGGAAAGCACATTCAGATTCTGGCCATCTGAACCTTTAGCTCATTATACATCAATTTTGAAGATCAAGGATAGGTTTGTGATTTTGTGATTAATGTATGGTTTTCCTACAGGTCAAAGATTTAGCTGAGAAAAGGATATCAATCAGTGGGTGATGAGTTAGTTTAGATCCATCGAGAAGATACAAAGACATTTCCATCTCAACAAGGTTTTTATTTCATCCTTTATGATCCAACTTTACTCTTATAGCAATAAGGCTGTTTTGATATGGTGAAGATGCATTTTTTTTTTTTTTTTTTTTTTTTTTTTTTTTTTTTTTTGCATTTAGATCTGTTGAAGTGCAGCATGGTATATGCAATTCTGATAAGTTGACTTGGATATCTAATTGATACTTATTCTCCAGAATGCAAGCATCAAAAGGAAAGTTCCATCATCCAAAGAAAATTTTGATGAAGCATGTTTAGCATCTTTTTCTTTCTATATCTCTTCTTTCTATGTGTGTGTGTGTAAATGATATGCAGTTAGTATGTAAAAATATATGTAGGTGTGTATATGTATAATCATGTTTTGGGTTGTTGTTTTGGTTCAGAGTTAAGCTGATACGAATGAAAAATTTGGGTGGAGGTTTCAAACTTTTGGCTAACAAAGAAATGCTCTGAGAATCAAGAAATGCTCGGTTGGTGGTTGGTTGAAATTTCAATGGAAGATGGCATTTTTAGGGTGTGTACGTTACCTCTTTTTCATCATCTTCACCAAACATTTAATAGAATAAACCCTATATCTATGCCACCACTCTCACCATATCTACATTTTCTCTCAACACAGGTCAGTTTGTGAGTTTTTTACTTGATTCTGATGTTTTCTCTGATCTCTTTTTGAAAATTAAAATGTTACGAGCAATCCTTTAAAAAAAATTCCTTGTTGAACAATATTGATATGGTTAAATTTATTTATTTTGCTAGGTACTTCTCTTTACAGCTCGAAGTTGAGCTTCAATATATTCATGTTAACCTCCATTTTCTCCTTTTCTTTTATCTTTTACATGTACAGAATACACAACATCCACTTGATTTTTTTAACAAAACTTCCTTTTGATTTATACGAGTACAATGTACAAAGCATCTACATGATAATTACATGGTTTTCAAGTGTTAAAATAAAAAGTGTTTATAGGTTAAATGTTGTTTTAGTGTTTTAAACGACTACATCCCATTTGACTTGAAAAGTTACCTTAAATCAAGGATGTTTGGTGGTTTAGTGCCAAGTTGACACTTAATGGCATCACACAGTTAACATTTGGAGGCTTTATTAGGTGTACTATATGTTACAAACCAAATGGCTTCTAAAAGTTAGGTTGTAAGGGATCTCTCTTCAGTTTGTTCAAAACAAGTTCGATTATAAACCTTTAACAGTTCAAGTCATTTGAGTTAATGCTTGTGTCAACTTCCAAGGGTATTTCAAATTTTTAATATGGCAAATAGTTTCGAAACTTGTCTTTGACTTCGAAATTGTTCACAGGTATATGCAACACTTTTTGGGTTTCTATCTCATGTTCAAAAAGGAGGAAAAAAAGTTGGTATGCTTTAATTGTATCGATTTTGGGTTCAGACCATTTTGCCCTTGGTTCTGGTTTGATGAGTTCCTGAACCTTTTTTCTGGCTGTTGATGCTATACTTTTATTGGATTTTCTGGTTTTATGAGCCTCACATATTTCAGTGGGTAGATAATGGATTACAATATATTTGGCATGTGTCTTGACCATTTTGCCCTTGGGGTTTGTTTTTACATGTTTTAAAAAATTGTTGTTCTAAAAAAGCTTACTCATTTTCATTATATTTAATAAAATATGTTTTAAGGAGAAGTTTGAAAATAAATAAATAATGTTGTTTATGTTAATATAGGAAGGCTACAAATCAATGCAAATTGTGCATATTCATTACATGCAAAATTATATGAAGTGTTTACAGATTACAAATTTCATTGTTCTTATTACTTTTTTGGGCGATAAAGTAAGAGCAGGGGATACCCACGCCTTTAATTGTTTGTTGCATAATTTAATTGTTAAACATTGTTTGTAAAAACTCACTGATATTAATATATAATATATTTTCTATGTGCATGATAACATTTAACTTAAGCACAACCAAAGAATGAAGCGTCATGGTGAACCACTATTAAATGAGCATATGAAAATATAAAACATGGAAAATGATATAACTGGATGATAAAATGGATATG